ATGTTGACTTTGGGGAAGACTTGGCGATCGACATGGTGCTTCACTCTTTGCCTCCGAGCTACAATCAATTTAGGATGACCTATCACATGAACAAAGAAGAGGTCACCCTAAGCAAACTCCAAGGTCTCTTGAGGGTCGCTGAGAGCAACTTCAAGGACAAGTCTGTTGCACCAACTCCCAATCCGCCCGCTGCTCCTGTCTTGGCAATTGGACAAGGAAAAGGAAAGAAGAGGAAGGCTTCTTCAAAGAACCATCGCAAGGTGAAAGCCCGAGATGGTGCCTCTTCTAGTGGGACCAAAGTTGATCCCGCTAAGCCCTGCTCTAATCCGAAGGAGGCAGAGTGCCACCACTGCCACAAGATAGGACATTGGAAGAGAAGCTGCCCGGAGTACCTGCAAGCCATCAAGGAAGGAAAGATCAAGCCATCTTTCGCAGGTATATATACAATTAAATCTAATGATTCCCACAATACTTCTTGGGTTCTTGATACCGGTTGTGGTTATCACATTTGTTCTAATGTGCAGGGACTAAGAAGAAGTAGAGACGTGGAGCATGGAAGAATAAATCTAATCATGGGGAACAGAAGATCGTCGCCTGTGACCAAGATTGGAGTGTATTCTTTAGTGCTTAGGAATAGTTTATCTTTAGATTTGAACAATTGTTGCTATTCGCCAGAAATGGCTAGAAACATCATTTCTTTTCATGGTTTGTTTAGACAAGGTTTTAGATTTTCTTTTAATAATGAGAATGGTTCTATTTTAGCTTATCTAAATGGTGTCTTTTACTTTGAAGCTATACCATGTAATGGAATTTATGAAACTGTTATGATTGTTGATAACTTAGGAAATGATGTTTTGTACTTGGATTCTTCCAATAGTATGGATAAAGCATCCTTATGGCATTGTCGTCTTGGACATGTCAACAAGAAACGCATAGCCCAACTCCAAAAGGATGGAGTGTTGGAGTCATTCGACCTTAGGGAAGATGACACATGCGAGTCTTGTTTACTTGGAAAGATGACTAAGTCACCCTTCGCTGGTACGTGCGAAAGGGGTGAGGGTCTATTGGACCTCATACATACCGATGTGTGTGGACCGTTTAGATCTACCACGAAGGATGGTAACCGCTTCTACGTGACTTTTACCGATGACTATAGTAGATATGGGTATATCTACTTAATCAAGCAAAAGTCAGAAACTTTTGAAAAGTTCAAAGAGTTCAAGAATGAAGTGGAGAATCAATTGGGCAGGAAGATCAAGATGCTTCGATCCGATCGAGGAGGAGAGTACCTAAGTCTTGAATTCCACGATTATCTCAAGGAGTGTGGAATAGTTTCACAATTGACGCCACCTAGGACACCACAATTGAATGGTGTGGCAGAAAGGCGTAATCGAACCTTGTTGGACATGGTTCGCTCTATGATGAGTCGTGCTTCTATCTATCTCTTTTTGGGGGTATGCCTTAGAGACTGCCGCCCATATCCTTAACCGAGTCCCTACTAAGAAGGTTACCAAAACACCTCACGAGATGTGGACGGGGAAAGCTCCTTCGTTAGCACATATCAAGGTTTGGGGTTGCGAGGCTTTCGTAAGACGAGATACTCACGACAAGCTCGAACCTCGTAGTGAGCGATGTATTTTCATCGGCTACCCGCAGAAATCCTTTGGATATCTCTTCTATAGACCGAAGGACAATGTTGTCTTTGTTGCGAGGAGAGGAGTTTTCCGAGAGCGAGAACTCATAGGCCAAGGAGACAGTGGGAGGCAAATCGATCTTGAAGAGATTCAAGAGTCGATAGATGAAGGAACCTCAACCGCTGGCACTCAACCCGAGGAGGAAACTCCGGTTGAACCGATTGACATATCATTACCTCTTAGACGTTCCGAGAGAGTTAGGTTTCAACCCCAGTTGTATGGTTTTCATATTACTACCGAAGGGGACACGTATATTAGTGATAGTACACTAATAAATCTTGATGAACCTAATAGCTATAAGGAAGCCATGGCAGGCCCGGAGTCTGCAAAATGGAAAGAGGCAATGGATAGCGAGATCCAATCCATGTATGATAACCAAGTTTGGAATTTGGTTGATAATGTGCCTGGACGTAAGACCGTTGGGTGCAAATGGATCTTCAAGAAGAAGACCGACGTGGATGGAAAAGTACACACGTTTAAAGCGCGACTAGTTGCGAAGGGCTTTACTCAAACTCCCGGAGTTGACTATGAAGAGACCTTCTCACCAGTTGCGAAGATAAAATCTATTAGAGTGATGCTAGCTATTGCCGCATTTCATGATTATGAGATTTGGCAAATGGATGTCAAGACCGCTTTCCTTAACGGAAAGTTGGCTGAGGATGTTTACATGGCTCAGCCAGAGGGTTTGTGGATCCGAAGCATCCGAATAGAGTGTGTAAGCTTGAGAAGTCCATTTATGGACTAAAGCAAGCATCTCGCAGATGGAATCTTTGCTTCGATGAGAAAGTCAAAGAGTTTGGATTTGTACGAAGCGAAGATGAGTCGTGTGTATATGTCAAAGCCAGTGGGAGTGTAGTAAGCTTTCTCGTTCTATATGTCGATGACATATTACTCATAGGAAACGACGTCCCGACTCTGCAGGAAGTTAAGTCCTGGCTCGGGAAGTGCTTCGCTATGAAGGACCTCGGAGAGGCTTCCTATATTTTGGGAATAAGGATAGTAAGAGAAAGAAGTAAGAGACTAATAGGACTTAGTCAGAACACTTACTTAGAGAAGGTACTAAAACGTTTTAGTATGGAAAACTCGAAGAAGGGAGAATTACCGATACAAAGCAATGCCAAGTTGAGTAAGACTCAAAGTCCGAGTACCGAAGCCGAGATAGCTGAAATGAGCCGAGTACCATACGCTTCCGCAGTTGGCTCAATCATGTACGCTATGACTTGTACTCGCCCTGATGTAGCCTTTGCTTTGAGCATGGTTAGTAGATATCAAGGGAATCCTGGCAGAGCGCATTGGGTTGCGGTGAAGAATATACTTAAGTACCTTTGGAGGATGAAGGAATGGTTCTTAGTCCTTGGAGGGAGTGATGACTTGAAGGTGCGAGGGTATAGTGACGCCAGTTTTCAGACTGACAGGGACAACTACCGTTCGCAGTTGGGCTGGGTCTTTACCCTTAATGGAGGAGCAGTAACTTGGAAGAGTTCCAAGCAAGAAACCGTAGCTGATTCAACGTGCGAATCAGAGTACATCGCAGCGAGCGAAGCGTCGAAGGAGGCAATATGGCTGAAGAACTTCATTGGAGATCTTGGAGTTGTACCTGCCATAAAGGAGCCCATGGAGATTTTCTGTGATAATGAAGGAGCGGTTGCCTTGACCAAGGAACCGAGAGATCATGGTAGATCACGACATATCGACAGAAAATATCACTTCATTAGACATCGTGTAGAAGAAGGACAACTCATAGTGAAGAGAATATCATCGGAAGATAACCCAGCAGATCCGCTTACGAAGGGACTAAGTAGGGTTAAGCATTTACAACATGCTAGGAGTATTGGGATGAAGGATGATATTAGTACAGATTAGATAGTATTAGAAATGTGTAATAGATAAATGTAATTAACATTTGATGATTAAATAAAGGAGTTTTATTTATAAGTAATGTTACTGTCTTATGTTAATTGTTTAACTATTGTTTCACTTTGCATGTTTTGACTTCCAGAATAATTGAGTTTATTAAGAATAATCGAATTGTTCAAATAGTCCACAATCGTTCATATGTCGGAAGTAGATATGAATGAAGATTGTCATGAATAGGTGTGTAGAGTGTCTAAATGGTGTTAGACATAGCAAAAGATTGTTGCAACGTTCATGAGTGCTTATGAACTAGGTTTGAGCATTGGAACAAACCCGCGCTTGCTGGAATCACCTTATGGAATGTGATAGTAAATGGGTGATCGCAAGACGATAATATCATATAGTCTTAAAACCTAGATATATGGTTTGTTATTGGTTAATTGATTGTACATTGATAATGCGAAAACGCATTGGTAACTCGATGTTATAAAACGCATTGTTGTGTGTAGTTGGTTAATGAATAAGTAAATGCATATAAGTCGAAGTTTATCTGTAACTTTTATCCTAAGAAGGAAAAAGCGATATCTCGGCCGCTCGATGATTTGATTTGACTTATGTGTCGGGCCCAGTCAGAACTGAATTGATGTGTTCGATTAAGTTCTATGTCAAATAAATAGGAGATCGAGAAACCAAATGCTAGACTAACTATTCCATAGTATTGTCAGCATGATATCTAAAAGAGGACTGTACGATCCCTTATCTAAAGGACAAAATTGATTAGATCAGAGTTTGACAGCGTTTTTGAGAGCTACAATTGCAAATCAGAATGTACTTGCGCATATAGTCACTAGACTTATCCAAGTGGGAGACTATTGGATTAGTGTCTAAGGCTGCAACTATATTAGGCAAGTATTTGACCCGATTGTGCATGGTCCTTTTGGGTTGCCTTCACCATAGCAACTTGATAGGATGATTTATTAAGAGAGAGTAAATATTATTAGTATATTATGAGAATAATATAAAGAATAATATCTAGTTATTTGATTAATATAAAGAATAATATCTGTTATTTGATTAATATAAGTCATAGATTAATTAGTATTAATTTGGTGACTTAAGGAGATTAATTAAATAAGAGGGTATAAACTGTCAATTGTTTGATAGTTACACTTTAGACTGTAAATCCTTATTGGATAGAGGATGGACGAATTCTAGGGGTTGGGATAACCTCAAATTCGTCCAAGGGTTATCCAAAGTAAGGATTAGGATCACTTAAAGTCTAAGTTATCCAATTAGGGTTTAAGCTGTAACCCTTAAGGAGTCTACAAGTATAAATAGACCCTATGGGATAGAGAATTTGGTACCCCATCCAAAGTAAAGATACTTTGGCCGAATTCCTCCCCTCTCCTCTCTCTCAAATCATCCTCCTTGCTATTTGGTGTTTGTAAGCCATTAGAGGAGTGTCAATTGTGACTCTAGAAGCTCCAAGACAACAAGATCAACAAGGAATTCAAAGGTATGATTCTAGATATGTTTCAATATTGTTATTACACCTAAATAGTCATTAGAAGTCTTGGATTTAGAGCATGTTTGATTAGAAAGCCTAGATCCAAGCATTAGGGTTTTGCATGCGCACATAGGAAAGTTCTTATGGCCAAAACCCATCACTTTTGCTTTGCGATTTTCATTGAAATTTTTCATGAAGAAAAGACCTTCTTGTTGATTTGCAGTTACGATTCTGTTGCCCTGTTTGATTGTGATTTTGGCTCTGCTTCCTTCTGGTTCTTTTTCAAACCTGTTGACAATTTTAGTTGTTCTCGGAACAGGTGGGTTGATAGGTGGATCATCAATTGTAGGTGGTGATTGAACAGAGGGAGGATCAACTACTCCATGAGGCTGTTGGAAGAGGGCTTTAACTTTTTCACCAAAAGCATCGTAGAAGATGTTCTTGAGATTGAAATAATTAGCTAGAACAGATCTAAGACTCGTTTGTAGATCATTGATTTGTTTGGTCTTTTCTTCATCCTTCGCCCTGAGCTCAAAGATGTATGCAGAAAGCTGATCCATCTGAATTGATTTTTCGATAAGCTCTTGATGGAGAATCCCAATCTCCTCTCGAAGATCAGGCGAAGAAGATTTGTCATCACATGTTCGACCCTCCTTGAATGATATTCCTTTTCCGCGTGAGGAGGAAATACTAGATAGAGCCATATGTTTTACTAATCTAATAGAAGCTTCATCAAGAGAAGGTCGAGTTGGAGAATATTCTGGAATGGATGAGGATCCACCAGTCTCAAATATGGTACTTGGACCTTCATCTGTTTGCTTTGGAGGAGAGTGAGCAGAGGTAGTAGTGATTGTTGAAAGGACTTGAGGAGCACATCTTACACCAGGTACCTTCAGACTTACAAGAGGTTGGCTTGTTTTTATGGAAGTCTGAGGTTCAGTTGAGTCAGAACTGATTGGAGCAGAAATTGAGATAAGTAGCACAGAGGGAGGAATCTCTGATGTCACATCTCCTTGGCTTGGTGCGATCTCCAAGGGCTTCGAAGTAGAGAATACAATCTTGAAAACATTTCTTTCATCTCTAGTCTTGGTTGCTAAAGAAGCAAATTCATTAACTTTATTAACATGGATGCTGGGAATATCAAGAAAAGGATCAAAATCTTCATCACCAAGGTCAAACTCTATGTTTGTTGGAATGTCGTCATTGATTCCTATAAAGTTGATTTCTTTTAAAAATTCCACATCTTCATAAAGATCATCGTCATCATCCTCTCGAGAATATTTTGAATCATTTGCTTTCTGATTATCATGCTCATCAGCTACATAAGCTGTGGGAGAGTCATGAATCTCCTCCACTACAGGCTTGGAGGGAGAGTGAGAAATATCTTCATTTTTCATCGGCATTGATTGTTCTTCTAATTCTTTTCTAACATCCTCTTTAAAAATTCCAAATTTTATTAATGGAATTTTTCCTTCAAATACGAACTGCCCACCTCTCTTTTGTTTCATTAGTCCAAAGGCACTTGGACCAATGGATTTGAAATCCAGAGTATCATTTCCTCTCTACAGCTCGGGGTGAGTTACGTTAAGGATGATTTGGAAAAATATTGGATACATCCATAATTTGTCTCTTTTGCTCCCTTCAAGATTTAGTATCATTTCATTCATCATAAATTTTGAGAAATTGAACTCAAAACCTGCCGCCAGTGCTGTAATGGCACCAATGTTGGCCAGAGAAATCTCGTTTGCTCCTGATCTCCGGCCGGAAATGCAGCTCACGAACACATGAGCCAAGTACATCCAGGAATTGTAGGAGGAAAAGTTCCCTCGTATCCCATATGCTCTAATACTTCCTGAGTTTGTTGAACATCAATCTCCATGGGGTACTCAGGTCTGTCCTCAATTTGGAGAGATTCTCTAATGATGCTTTTTGTTACTTGAATTTTCTTGTCTTCGATTGTTGCTTCAACGAATTTCCCCCCTGACCATTCTTCTTTAAAACAGCATTCCTCCAGAATTCCTTAATCAAACTTTGGTAGATAGCAGGACTTGTAGTTAGAGCATGAACCAAACAGGATTTCTTCAAGCCATCCACAATGAATTTCAAGTCATTATGGACTGCAGGAGGGTCTTCGAGAAAAATTGCAGAATTATGAGCTTTAGCAAACTCCATGTCCCCCATTTTAATCTGAAAGTAAACACACAAAGTTATTAGGACAAAACAATTGAAAAAAAAAATTAAGCCGCACACGGGATTACACACAGCCGCACACGTGCAAGTGTGCGGCCGCCACCGCACAACCACAAAAATTATGAGCTTTAGCAAACTCCATGTCCCCCATTTTAGTCGCACACGCGTGTGTGCGGCCGCACACGCGTGTGTGCGGCCGCACACACACCATGTGCGGTTATATTCGAATACAAACAATTTTGATGAATATCCAACAGCAAACAATGGAAATTTTTACCGAGTTCATAAGAATTTACCGAGTCAAAGCTTTGATTTCACGAGAAATTTTTGGAATTAAGAATGAATTATAGAGAGAATCAGTGTGTGTGTGTGCGGTTGAGGCAAAAGTAAATGACGGTGAAAAAGGCTCACCGCACACACGCTTTACATATGCACAAAATTTACAACTTCTCCCCCTTATCTTTTAATCATTAACACCGATGCCCTTTTCACTCACCATTTTCTCAAAATGAACTATTTTGAGGATTAATGTGAAATTAATTTCAAAATTTCTAATAAACTAAAATTTATTATTAGAATTAAAAAAATATAATAAAAAAATAAAAATTAAAAATAAAAAAAATAAAAAATAAAAATATAATAAAAAAACTAAAATAGAGTAGAATAAAAATTTGAAGTATTATTAACGACAAGGAATAAACAATTCAATTTAAACCTATATAAATTGTTTTAACCTATTAGAATTTTGGGATCAAAGTTTTTTAACAGCCATTATCCGCTTGTCGGTACCTTTCATATTCACATCTTTGTCTGATCGATTGTCGGTATTGTTGTCCACTTAAACACGAAAAATTGTGACAAAATTGGGACACACTATGAGTGACAAGACAATGTGATCCTAAATTCCTAGATATTATATTTAAACCTAAGTTTCTAGATACTATATCTTAAGGACCATTCAGCTGATGACGACCAGGGATATTGTTGTCCACCTAAATTGAGCAGCGAGATCTACAAACAATCTTTGAGTGTTCAATTTTAATTGTACTGGAACATGTTTCCCGCTTCTAGATATGCTCCAATAATCAAGGACTTCCAGAATACTCCTTACATCGGGTGAGCAGACAATCATTAAGAGAGAAGATAGATTTAGAATGCATATGCTATACACCTAGGTCGGATCTCTTCTAATCACGCAGAGGGTGAAACATATGACTAACTGAGGTTTTAGAGGGATTGAGAAGTATAATGGTGCATATACTGTGTACCAGGTCAGATTGTGAGTCACGCAAAGGAGACAGTATATGGCTAACAGATAGAAAGAATTGCATAGATAGAAGATGCAAAGAAATAGAGTTGCATATGTCACAGTCCAGGTCGGATCCTTCGATCACGCAGAGGAAGCAACATATGACTAACAGATAGAAAGAAAGAATATAACCTTCTATAGACCTAATTTATCGGAATTTACCAGTCGCCCCATCCAACCGGAATTAAGGACAAAATCCGCACATCGAGGAAAAGTTAATCCACGGTTCCAGATATGGGTTTATTTAATGTGACGAGTAGATTCCCATATATATCTCCCTGCTCAACCTATCCGAGCGTCGTATTGTCAGGCTGAACGAAACTATCTAGGTCAAGATTTGTCAAGTCATTTGATTTCCTAAGTTCAACTCTGCCTAGTCATGCCCATTTAGAATCTTTCGTGCCTACCAACACATCAAACCAGAGCATAGACCCTTCAACTTTGGGTACGTTACGCAGACTTAGGTTGCCTGTTATCACATAATCATATCACTTCCCAAAACACCTCCTTTAAGCATAATAAAATTTCTGATTTTCTAATTTTTGTTTTTGGATTTTTCTAATTTTCTAATGTTTTTGGATTTTCTAATTTTTTAATGTTTTTGAATTTTCTGATTTTCTAATGTTTTTGGATTTTCTGATTTTCTTCCCCTAAATTTGTGTATAAAACAATAAAATACAAAATGCGCAAATTTATCCTAAGAAGTACATAAAAAAAAATAATCCTCGAAACTAATCATTTTTAGAAAATTAACCAGCACATCGAATCGAGCTTTGCTAAATGGCTTGGTGAACAGATCTGCTACATTATTATCAGAGCGGACCTGTTCTAGCCGAATGAGCGAATGCTCATAACATTCTCTAATAAAATGAATCTTGATGTCGATGTGCTTGGTTTTTTAGTGCAGGACCGACTTTTTGGCAATTTGGATCGCAGCCTCATTATCACAGAAAAGAGGGGTTTCTTGAAAATTCAAGCCGTAGTCCAACAGCTGATGTTGGATCCAGATGACTTGTGAACAACAAGCAGATGCAGCGACATACTCTGCTTCTGCTGTTGAGATGGAAACGGTATGCTGCTTCTTACACTGCCATGAGACCAATCTATCAACCAAAGTTTGGTTCATGCTCTAACTACAAGTCCTGCTATCTACCAAAGTTTGATTAAGGAATTCTGGAGGAATGCTGTTGTAAAGAAGAATGGTCAAGGGGAAAAATTCGTTGAAGCAACAATCGAAGACAAGAAAATTCAAGTAACAGAAAGCATCATTAGAGAATCTCTCCAAATTGAGGACAGACCTGAGTACCCCATGGAGATTGATGTTCAGCAAACTCAGGAAGTATTAGAGAATATGGGATACGAGGGAACTTTTCCTCCTACAATTAAGAAGTTGCTTTGGCTCATGTGTTCGTAAGCTGCATTTTCGGCTGGAGATCAGGAGCAAACAAGATTTCTCTGGCCAACACTGGTGCCATTGCAGCATTGGCGGCAGGTTTTGAGTTCAATTTCTCAAAATTTATAATGAATGAAATGATACTAAATCTTGAAGGGAGCAAAAGAGACAAATTCTGGATGTATCCAAGATTTTTACAAATCATCCTTAACGTAACTCACCCCGAGCTGCAGAGAGGAAATGATACTCTGGATTTCAAATCCATTAGTCTAAGTGCCTTTGGACTAATGAAACAAAAGAGAGGCGGGAAGTTCGTATTTGAAGGAAAATTTGCATTAATAAAAATTGGAATTTTTAAAGAGGATGTTAGAGAAGAATCAGAAGAACAATCAATGCCGATGGAAAATGAAGATATTTCTCACTCTCCCTCCGAGCCTGAAGTGGAGGAGATTCATAACTCTCCCACAACTTATGTAGCTGATGAGCATGATAATCAGAAAGCAAATGATTCAAAATCTTCTCGAGAGGATGATGACGACGATCTTTATGAAGATGTGGAATTTTTAAAATAAATTGACTTTACGGGAATCAATGACGACATTCCAACAAACATAGAGTTTGACCTTGGTGATGAAGATTTTGATCCTTTTCTTGATATTCCCAGCAGCCATGTTAATAAAGTTAATGAAGTTGCTTCTTTAGCAACCAAGACTAGAGATGAAGGAAATGTTTTCAAGATTGTATTCTCTACTTCGAAGCCCTTGGAGATCGCACCAAGCCAAGGAGATGTGACATCAGAGATTCCTCCTTCTATGCCACTTATCTCAATTTCTGCTCTAGTCAGTTCTGATTCAACTGAACCTCAGACTTCTCAGACTTCCATAAAAACAAGTCAACCTCTTGTAAGTCTGAAGGTACCTGCTGTAAGATGTGCTCCTCAAGTCCTTTCAACAATCATTGCTACCTCTGCTCACTCTCCTCCAAAGCAAACAAATGAAGGTCCAAGTACCATATTTGAGATTGGTGGATCCTCATCCATTCCAGAATATTCTCCAAGTCGACCTTCTCTTGATGAAGCTTCTATTAGATTAGTAAAACATCTGGCTCTATCTAGTCCATCCTCCTCACGCGGAAAAGGAATATCATTCAAGGAGGGTCGAACATGTGATGACAAATCTTCTTCGCCTGATCTTCGAGAGGAGATTGGGATTCTCCGTCAAGAGCTCATCGAAAAATCAATTCAGATGGATCAGTTTTCTGCATACATCTTTGAGCTCAGGGAGAAGGATGAAGAAAAGACCAAACAAATCAATGATCTACAAACGAGTCTTGGATCTATTCTAGCTAATTATTTCAATCTCAAGAACGTGTTGTACGATGCTTTGGTGAAAAAGTCAAAGCCCTCTTCCAACAGCCTCATGGAGTAGTTGATCCTCCCTCTGTTCAATCACCTCCTGCAACTGATGATCTACCTGTCAACCCACCTGCTCCGAGAACAACTAAAATTGTCAACATGTTTGAAAAAGAACCAGAAGGAAGCAGAGCCAAATTCACAATCAAACAGGGCAACAGAATCGTAACTGCAAATCAACAAGAAGGTCTTTTATTCATGAAAAATTCCAATGAAAATCGCAAAGCAAAAGAGCCTGTTTTAACAGTAACGGATTTGAAGAAAAGAAAGTTTCGCGATGAATATGGTGACAAGACAGGTATCCGAATGTGGGCCTTTGATCCAGTGACGAATTTGTGGGTTGTAAAGCGAAAATCAGGAGCATCTAAATGTTACAAAAGCACCCATGATTTCAACTCTTGGACCAAAACTGATCTAGCCGAATTATCCAGGGTCCTATTCCACAATCCCTCCGAAAATCCCAGTGCTTCGAATTTCAAAAGATTTCTCGACAGACAGGTTAGAGCAAACTTTCCATCAATGAAGACTGCAAAAGCTCTATATAGGAAAGACAAAGATGTTCTTGATTCAAAATCAGGCAAACCCATGAAGATCATACTCTGGCCTGCAACTAAGAAACAAAAGGAAATTCCTATTCCTCAACATTTTCATGAGGGATATCTGGATGATATGTAATTTTGGGCCTATGATGACGAAACTGCAACTGTAGCTATCAAATTCAAGAATCAAGAACCGGTTTTGAGATTGATTAATGCTAAAGATCTTCTTTGTTTCAGAGAAAGGGATATACGAACTCTGGCCCGTCATCAAATCATTTGTAGAAAAGATGTCATGGAAGCTGCTGCTAAAGAATTCACTGCAATGGTGGCTACAATCATAAATGGAAGATTGTGGATGGGATCGATAGGGAGATCAGATTTGAGGTTGTTTGAGAAGCCTGCTAAGAAGCCAAACGAATGAAGTTCAAGACTATGCTAGTCTCAAACCAAGGGGGAGATTGAAAGTCCATAATTTTGTGGTTTGAGCTAGTCATAATTTTTGTATAGATCTATTCAGGATGTCTGAGTGTGTATTGCAGCAGTGTTTGTATTGGGCTTGTAATGTGTGCTGCCACACATGTGTGTGCGGCCGCACACATGTGTACGGCTGCACACTTTTGTGTTGGTAGGAGGAGTACTATTTATAGAAACTGAGTTGTGTCAGATTGTACTTTTTGGTGTGTGTCAGAACTCTGCAGTAGTTGTACTTTATCAAGATGTACTTGACATTTACTTGCAATAGATGTGTGCATGCTTAATTCTACTTCTTCTTCTTCTACATCTCACCTTAATTGTAATTAATTTCATTGATTACTAAATTGGATCCTCAGTTTTGGGACTAACAGTCTGCAAATCGCAAATCACAAATCAGATGTTTCAAATCATGATATACAACAGACAAGAACACGATGAATTACAAACTTACACATTTCTAGGGAGCTTTGTTAAATCCTTTTTATTAGGGTTCAAGACGTCTTCTTTATGTCTGAAGAAAGAAACAGCATGATTAACAACAGTCAAGGGATAAAAACATTAAGGAGCAAAAACTAAGAGAGGAAAGAGAATGATTACTGTTTAATCGCTTTATGAGAAACAATTTTCTTCATTACAGCGAATTTGGGACCCTTCTTTGCTCTCCCCATCTCTCTCTAAACCTGATAAATTTGAGGAATGTTACTGAATTACAAACCCTACAACACTTGTATGATAGTTTTGTTAGTTAACAAACACCAAAATTTACAGTTGCCCATGCACAAAAAACCCTAAAACGAAAACTGCCTATGAAATTAAGAAAGGTGGTGTTCAACTATCAACGAGAGAGTAATTAACTTAACGTAGCCTAATTGGAGGTCCGTGAAGATATTGTATATACCGTTTTGGGTGATTTAGAAGATGTCAAAAGAGCTGGAAGTTTTACGTGTATATCTTCGAACTATGCTTCTCCTAACAGAAATTTGAACGGATAAAAGTAAGATCAGGGAGGTTGTGGCGGTGGTGGCGGCGGCGGCCGCGAGCGAGCGGTTGTACGAGGAGACTGAAGAGTATGCACCATTTTTGCTCTTTTCTTTCCGGGGAGATTGAATTACATTACCCTCTAGACTATTGTACATTTTACCTACAGTCCTCGGCTAGATGAATAATTACTATAAAGTTGTCTATTTTATTATTTTTATTTTAAATAAAAAAACAAATTACACTAATCTTATTTATTATTTTTCAAAATTTAAGCAAAATCAAAATATTTATCTAAATAGCCATAATTTTTACATATAGTCATCTGCAAAAATCCATATTATATGTAAATCTAACGCATGAAAATCGTTTTGGTAATTAAGTGGGATAAACTGAAAACTTATTCATATTTATAGGAGATTTTCTCAGATAAGGTTCCCTCATATTCCTATTTGCAAAAAATGACTTCCTCACATGTCATTTAAAAAAAATGTTATGTCAAATGTTGTATTTTTTCATATGCCACATGCATAAATCATGGTTTTCCTCGTTTGCGAAAAAATAGGTTCCCTCACATATTATCTACGAAATAAGAAAAGCGTATATTTTTTAAATAATTCATACTGCTAAAATCTAATATTTATTCAATGAATTTAATGATTGTTTTATAAGATCTAATTTTCATAGAAAATAAACCATTACAAAATTTTCCTATTTGGTATTAGTTTTCTAAAAAAATATGACTCAAAATCTTACAGATAAGTATTTTATTGTTATTTGTATCGACGGTTCATGACAGTCATAGATGAAAAATGTATTTACATTATGACTTTTGTTAAAAATTATAGTGTAGAAACTTCATTAAATATAGATTCCCTTGATTTATTAAATTTGATCAAACTGAAGATGTTTGGAAGACAAATATAATATATGTATGTCTTTTCAATATCCTACAATGTCCCTTGATTTATTAAATTTGGTCAAACTGAAGATATGTTTGGAAGACAAATATAATATATGTCTGTCTTTTTAACATCCTACAATGTAATTTATTGTAGAGATAGTCGTTGAAAGTGATATAAAACACTTGGAAAATGTTATTTCAAGCTTAAAATATTGTATATTGGTGGATAATGGTCAAATGAAAGAAGCTTCAATTGTTCAATACAATGAAAAAAAATCTATCGAAAAGGTTCCGATAACAAAAAAGGAAAAAGGCTTTGTTGAGAACCGATCTAGCGGAAGAGATAACGACAATCAAACTTGTATTTTATATATCTAAAACCCTATCCTCATGGGTATGCTATATATGAAACGTTTATATAATCATAATATCATTATGACAATATGATACAACCACAAAAATGTTGGATACGTTTTATATGAAACATAATTTTTAGATTTTAAAATTCATTATGTCAATCCATGTTGTTGTTGCATTTGAAAATATTGTTGTTAGAAATGACAATAATATTGGGAAAAATAATGATACAACTCTCGTTGAAAATAAGGACACTCCTGTTATTAAAGGTAATGATAAGGATTAACAAGAAGCCGTAAGAATCTTACTTATTCCAATATTAAAAATGTTAAGTGATTTCTTGGAGAAAAAATTAAAGGTTTTTCCTGAAAAGTTATCTAAAAATTATCCATAAACATGTTACAAATATTTTAGAAAAAAATAAATAAATATTGATGTTTAATCGAAAATCTCAATATATCCACAAAGGCACAAATTATAAAAGTCACGTACCCGACCCGGCAGGCGTGGTGCACCTTTGATACGGTTAACCTGCAACCTTGGTGGCTGTTCGTGGCGTTCTACTTCCTGAAGTTCATTAACACAAACCCTAATTCCATCCTGTACAATCAAAGAATGATTAGTGAGACTAGGATGTAAATGGCAGCAATAAGGCGTATACTTTTCTCTTCTTTATCTCGTTCTTCATCAAATTACACCAGCGAACTAGTGTATAATACCAACCACAAGTGGATCTCCACAACCATCCACCTCAATCAGTCATGGATGAATAAGATCAAAGGTGCCTTCACCGGGAAAAAACCCACTTCACCAGCTAACGAAGACGTCACGTCGCAATCATTCACTCTCTTTAGTAAGATCGCAATCTATTTATTACTTCAAACCTGTCCAAAATTATGCTCCATTTCGCAAAATTTCCGTTTCCAACTTTACACATACCGTATACTAAGTAACGATTTTCTGGAAAACTGTACTCGTAGTCGAATAATAATGGCGAATTGAACTAGAAACGACCATCTCTTTCTCTATGTCTCTTAATGCATGTATGTATATGTTAGGGTTTGCGGATGAGCTGAAAAATGCACGGAAGTTGGGTACTTTCAAACAATACATGGTTGGTCGAAGCAGTGAAGCCACATTTGCAGATGCATTCGAGAAGCAAGAGGCTATAATTCGATTTCTTGGGGGATTTGATCCCAGTGGAGAGGTTGTCCCCTACTAGTTATCATCACATTGTTTTCAGTTTCATATGTTTCTATGTTCATTTAGTGTATTTGTTTAGTCTTTAGATGTGTTCTTCAAGACCTTATTTTGAGTATGTAATGACTGATTTGAGTTTCTATATACTGCAAATGTAGAATATCCAACCTAGTCAAAAGCAAGAAGCAGCAAAATGCTGTAATTGCACTATAGCTGATGTTGAAAATACTTTGGCAAAATTCACTTGGGCTAAAGAAGCTCAGAGGAAAATCGAGAAGATGAAGGAAGAAGGAAAGCCAATGCCAAAGAGCTTAGCTGAGGTATTAACTATTAAATCTTTCTTATTCCCATAAAGAGCTTAGCTGAGGTATTAACTATTAAGTCAGTTTCTACTGCATTAAGCAATTACACCCTTATATAGCTTAATGCTAAGTCCTGCTTCCGTGAAATCTAGTAAAAAAGAAACAACACCATTGTATGATTGTATCTTTATTAGACACCCATGTATGTTTTACTATGTATCTTGCTAATTTATCTTAATTGCTATTTTATACTTTTTTTATGTAGGTCCAAAAGCTAATGGGATCAACACCAATGGATCTTGCCCAATCGAACATGGCTAAGAGTGGACAAATAAGCAGAAATGCACTCTGCCCATGTGGATCTAAAAAGAGATACAAACGGTATATTTTCGTACTTAAATTTATTTGTAATATCAATAGAATCCTTTTATCTAATTAGGGTGCAAATGTGCAATGCAATCTCACTAATCTTAATGCTTTGGTTTGAATTAATTGTTCGGTTTTGATTGCTACAAAGGTGTTGTGGAGCTGAAGGGAGCACATCAATCAAGAATTAAATGTAAAGTTAGCTGCTTATTTGATGGCAAGTGAAGTACGTATGAATATTGAGTTTATTTTGTAGTGTTTTCCCTTCTGACTTCGGGAGTATTGTGACTTCTGAAATAATTTTGATATGTTGCGTCCAACACTAATGATTTCACCATAGAAATCATGAAAATAAAACATTTTTTCCATGTTGCTATGTATACTATATGATTCATGTATTTTATATGGTCATATAGGAGCAAAGTTGAATTGAGAACGTGAGAATGTAAAGAATTAGGATGTGTCTCAAAAATCATTGACATTTACATGATTATTGGTAAGGGTGGAGCTAGACAAGTCTTAAAAAAGAACAAGGATGTAACATGTTTCTCAACTTATGCTAGACATTTAGGGCGCATTTAGTTATGAAAAATTGTTTTTTGTTTTCCATTTTTGTAAAAGTAAAATGGGCCTTCACTTTTAGTTTTTAGTAGAAAATCTTATATGGGATATACTATATATAAAACATCTTAGTTATATCTTGAATTTTAAGAGGTATAAGTTATAAATTTTTTTTGTACAAATCAATTGTACATAAATAAATCATTAATACTTGCTAAAAGTTTGAATACTTGAATTAAGGAAGGTTATTCAAAATTTAATTTTGAGCAAAATGATAATTTTAAAATATTAAATTCATGTAGTATATATAAAACATTTTAGTCATATTTTGAATTTTAAGAGGCATAAGTTATAAAGTTTTTTGTACAAATCAATTATGCATAAATAAATATTAATACTTGCCAAAAGTTTGAATACTTGAATTAAGGAAGGTTATTCAAAATTTAATTTTGAGCAAAATGACAATTTTAAAATATCAAATTTATGTATATAAATTAATTTATATTTCTTAAACCAAACATCTATATTATTAATTTACATCAAATGTATAATATAATAGATAATATAAATATAAGGTCTAAACTAAAATATTTTATTTAAAAGTGGTAATTTTTTATTATATAATAATTAATAATTAAATCTAACATCTAATATATATATATATATATATATATATATATATATATATATATATATATATATATATATATAAAATAACATTTTAGTCATATCTTGAAATTTAAGAAGTATAAGTTATAAATCTTTTTGTACAAATCAATTATACATAAATAAATCATTAATATTTGCCAAAAGTTTGAATACTTGAATTAAGGAAGGTTATTCAAAATTTAATTTTGAGCAAACAATTTTAAAATATTAAATTCATGTATATAAATTAATTTACACTTTTTAAACCAAACATCGATATTATTAATTTACATAAAATGTATATGATTATTCCTCGGTCACTTTTCAACCTTAATGAGTTTTATAATCATTTTTTTGATTATAAAAAAGGGGATAATGAAGAGTGGGTATTTGAAGTTTCGGGTATTCATTTGCGGATTTGAAGACTGGTATCATTTTGAGGGGGAGTTGGTCTTGATCGCTCGAGCTCGTTGGATATTGAAGTCGGGACATCCAATCCTAACTTTAAGGGGGGGGGGGGGGGGAATGTTAGGGTGCAAAGTCACACTTAGATGTAGTTTTGTGCTTACCCTCTTTTATGTGTAAATGGGTTGAGTTTTTCGTATAAATAGGAAGTAAGTGACTCCCATTATGGAATAACTTGTAATGATCAATTTGGAGTGTTAGTTTTAGAGAGAGAATTTGCGAGACCTATTTGTACTCTTTCTAACCAAACTAATGAGAGCTTAAACCAAATTTATTTACTCCATGTGTTCATGATTTGTATAATGATTCACTAGATGTAATCAATTCCACATTTGTCATCATAATCAACACCAATACATGGTGAAAAACCGTTATTCACCCCCGAGGATTGATGATTTGTTTGACCAGCTTCAGGGTGCATCTTGGTTCTCCTAGATTGATTTGCGATCAGGCTATCACCAGATGCAGGTGAAGGATGAGGATGTGCCGAAGACTGCTTTCGGACTCATTATGGTCATTACGACTTCGTGGTGATGCCTTTTGGGCTCACCAATTCTCCATCCGCGTTCATGGACCTCATGAATCGCGTATGCAGACCGATGCTGGATCGGTCTGTGATAGTGTTCATTGTGACATCCCCAAATTCACGATCATTTTAAAAAATTTATTTACGCTTATTTGAAAATCAAAGTATACTTTTGAAGAAATATGTTGCAGAATTTGTTCCCAAAAGTATGATAAGTAAATTATCAAAGCATTCCCGAAGGAATGGGTTTTCATTATATTAAAAACATTGGGTGTCATTGTAAATACAATATATATAAGCATAAACATAAATGGTACATGCCTTACAACATCTATTATTCTAATGGCCTATAATCCATAGATCTCTCATCAGATCAACACTCCCATGCTCTTTTACCACTACCTGTAATGCAAGAAACTGAGTGGGCCAGGCTTGGGATCCTGATGAGCACATAGGGTTTTCAACCCACAATAATTAAGTTTATTAATTTCTTCAATCAATCAACCCGGTTACCCGTTCCCGTTATCCTCACTTTCTGTCCCTAAAGCATCTAAACTAAGGGACTTAGCCTAAGGATTTTTCATCTGGGTGACAACAATGCTTAGGGGATTCCTCAACAATACATGTCAAATAAGGCAACCATGGGGGGATGGAGTACACCTGGTGAACAATTAGTTCAAAAACACCTACAAGTTGCGAGCCTGTCAGCGATCCACTAGACTGTCTATTAGACCACTAACAGATGGCTTATAATTCAAATTATTTTGAATTTTGTATTATTTAATGTACATATCTCTTTTGATTTATTTTTCCTTATTTGTTGTAACTTTCCATAGTCTTTAGGGTATTCTCCTGTATTCATACTGTGACAATTCTATGGAATAAAACACACAAAAGATTGAAATCATTATATGGTATCAGAGCACACGATTACCACCATCCATCATCTTTTCTATCTCTGTATTCCAGCCAACCTTTCTTCTCCAATATATCAACAGAAAGCTCCACCAATTCTTCTGTTTCGTCTGTTCCAATCACCAGCAACCTAACTCTGGTCAACTTCCCTACTTCACTTAAACTCGATTCAACAAACTACTTAACCTGGAAAACCCAAACCGAAGCACTCCTTCGAGGACTTGACCTTTACAAGTTTATCGATGGCTCCTACCCTGCACCTACTCCAACTGTTGATGCTACTGGTGTTACTACTCCACACAAAGACTACATCAAATGGTTTCGACAAGATCGTCTTCTCTTTGGCGCTCTTGTCGGTACCTTATCTCCACCTATCGTCCCTCTCATCACCAATGCTACATCATCCTTTGAGGCTTGGAAAATCCTCTCCAACACTTATGCCTCTCCATCACGTGGCCACATTAAGCAACTACAACACAGGTTAAAGCAACTATCCAAAACTCCTGATCAACCTATCACATAATACATGCAATATGTGAAAACTCTTGTCGACGAGCTCTCTATTCTTGGAAAAAAATGGATACTGAAGACATCACTGATATTATTCTTCATGGTCTTGATCAACAATCATACAAACCCGTTATTGAAGCTATCTATGCCCAGGACAACCCCATCTCATTTCATGAACTACACGAGAAGTTAATCAACAATGAACTTTCTATTGCTCAACACCCCGCTCCGACCGCTAATCTCCATCAACCTGTCACTGTATTTGCTGCCCACACTCGGTCCTCCCCTAAACCTTGGACCAATCGCCCCCCTTCACATGCCCCTGGATTACTACCCACCCCCTCATCCTCCAATACCTCTAAACCATTTTTGGGAAAGTGCCAATGGTGCTTTGCTAAAGGGCATTCTCTTACATCTTGTCTTGTATTCAAAAGGCAACACCCACATATCACCCTCCCCACTTATCAAAAAACAAACAATCATCAACCGTAGGCACATATGATGGGTGTTACCGGTTACAACACATCCAACTCAACTTGGTTATTTGACGGCGACGCCTCTCATCACATCACCAACGACCTCAATGCATTATCATTCCATACTCCTTACGACGGTAATGAGGAACTAATCATTGGTGATGGTTCGTCACTTACTATAACTCATATTGTCTCTCTCAATATCTCATTTTCAAATCCTACATTTACATTACAAAATGTTTTTGTGTTCCCTCACTTTCACGCAACATTATTTCTATCTCACGTTTATGTATCTAAAACAACATACTAATTGAATTCTTTTCTTTCAATTTTGTTATCAAGAACTTCCGAACCCGAACACCACTTCTTCAGGGAACTGCTAGTCGTGGAATCTACGTTCTTTGTTCATCCTCACCATCACCATATGCTTTTCACATGCAAACCAATAAGGATTCATTTTGGCATCATCGTCTTGGGCATCCAAACTCCAAAGTCTTGCACTTTTTATCTTCTTCTTTTCCTTCCATCAAACATTTTCAAGATCATTGTAATTCATGTTGCATAAGTAAAAGTCATAAACTCCCTTTCAATGATTCTTCCATTACTTCTACTACACCCTTACAGATCTTATTTTCCGATGTATAGTCATCACCGATAACGTCATTTGATGGATTCAAATATTACATAATATTTGTTGATCATTTCACAAAATACATTTGGATTTACCCGTTAAAACATAAATCTGACTCTCTTAATACTTTCATCCGATTTCAAAATCTCGTTGAAAACCATTTTCAATGCAAAATAAAAGCTCTTTGGAAAATTGGGTCATAGATGGGCCCTAGTTTAGGCCTTAATGATTATATGATATTGGGCCATTAGAATGTCAAATGTTGGACTGGAATAAATGGTTGGGCCTCAGAGCGAGACCATGTAAATGTTTGGGCCTAATTTGGAAAATTGGGCCTTATGTTGGGCTTTAACTCATAGTTGACTGTTAGGCCCTTGGATTGGGCCTTGGGCTTAGATCAAACTAAGATTGGGGTAGAGCAGTCTTTTACCCCAAGCATGGACTTATGTTTATGTATTG